TAGTTAAATCCACGGTGAAATCCAAGCATATTATTTGCTGTATATGCTGTTTTTGCCCTGCCAATGTTCTGCAAATGGCAGAATGGGTTAGTTTAGAGTGTAGAATTTCTTAAGATTACTCGATAACAGTGCTTTTATGCTATCACTCTCTGACCGTGACATATAATTCACATGCATTTACTAGTAGAAGTTTTTTTTTTTGTGTGTATGTGTTTGTGTTTGTTCACCTGCAATATTCTGTCTTAAATGCAAGTTAAGTTTTATTAATCTGTGGCATGCTGTCGATTGCCACTAAAAATACATTTGTGCCTTAATTTTTTCCAAAAATGCACACAGAATGTATATCCATGTATTTTTGCCCTTAGCCTTCCATTATAATCACATAACCTTCAGTGTGTTTTTCTAAATTATTTTCTGTGAATCAACAGCATGCCACAGATGAAGTTTAACTTAAGCGGAATTGTCCTTTTAAAGGCCAACTTATTCTATTTTCTCTAATACTTCCTCCTCTGACATTCCTAAGACTTTGCAAAGCCTCTGTCTGTCCCAAAAGTGACTCAAGAAAAAAAAAGAAAAAAAAAAGAATGCTTTCGGGTCCAGTGAGGTTCACTTGCTAATGGGTTTGTTTGTAATTAAATTATATAATTTTTCTTCAAAGCTGATTGCTATACAACAATAAAATCCCTAGGGAGCTTGTAATCACTGGATTTGAATGGCTTGAGGTTGGGACGTACAAAAATGATGACAAACTGAGTGTAATACCTCAGATATAGGTGTCATTGTAAGATAATGTTTCACACAGGTTTGACGTTAGCTATACCTTGTAATGACATCCACTGTCACATCATTATAACATTCTGGACTGCCTGACAAAAATATGACTGGAATTTTTTTTTGTGTTTGTTCACCTGCAATATTCTGTCTTAAATGCAAGTTAAGTTTTATTAATCTGTGGCATGCTGTCGATTGCCACTAAAAATACATTTGTGCCTTAATTTTTTCCAAAAATGCACACAGAATGTATATCCATGTATTTTTGCCCTTAGCCTTCCATTATAATCACATAACCTTCAGTGTGTTTTTCTAAATTATTTTCTGTGAATCAACAGCATGCCACAGATGAAGTTTAACTTAAGCGGAATTGTCCTTTTAAAGGCCAACTTATTCGATTTTCTCTAATACTTCCTCCTCTGACATTCCTAAGACTTTGCAAAGCCTCTGTCTGTCCCAAAAGTGACTCAAGAAAAAAAAAGAATGCTTTCGGGTCCAGTGAGGTTCACTTGCTAATGGGTTTGTTTGTAATTAAATTATATCATTTTTCTTCAAAGCTGATTGCTATACAACAATAAAATCCCTAGGGAGCTTGTAATCACTGGATTTGAATGGCTTGAGGTTGGGATGTACAAAAATGATGACAAACTGAGTGTAATACCTCAGATATAGGTGTCATTGTAAGATAATGTTTCACACAGGTTTGACGTTAGCTATACCTTGTAATGACATCCACTGTCACCATCATTATAACATTCTGGACTGCCTGACAAAAATATGACTGGAATTTTTTAAATAATAGACCATTTTTACAGTCAAGCTATAAAAGCAAGAAAGGGTAAACCTTTTGATCTAAATACCCTAGGCTTGCGATGGCTTAAAATAAAATGGGCCTGAGCACAAAGGAGAGACCTCTTGTTTGCTGCAGCAGTAATGGCTGTGCTGATGTTTAGTTCTTTTATTCATCTTTGCAGCCCCTAGATAGAATCAGAAGATTGTCACAGACTGTTGTGCCATAAAATGCTTTGTCATAGCAATTTCCAGAACTATTGTGGCCAGCACCAACACTCTTGTCCAAGAACCTCTGTAATTAATTTTATTTATGAGACCAGGAAAGTTATCCACCATTTTGTGTGTTTTTTTTTTCTTGTCCCCAACCTCAGGGTTTTGGCAGGAACATGAGCCCTGATCATACGTCTGTATTTCTCTGGCTGCAAAAAGAAAACTTGCGCACTCACACACAATTTGCTGAATCATTGTTTCTTTGCATTTGTATGAGAATAATTAGCCTCTTTTTCGCTTATATGAGAATATATAAATATAATTTTGATATGAAATGATTATAAGCAATAAATAAGAAAGCTAGCTCATCAAATTCTCTTTTTTGCTTTATTGGATGATTATACAGATGAATGACAGTAATGTATCATATAAACGAAGGATTTTCATATAAGGATTTCATATAACTTCTAGATATATTACAGTTATACATATGGGACCACAGTACACTAGCCTACATAAATATTCCTAGATTAAAGTCTAAGATTGTCTCACCCACACTCACCAACACTGCCTAAATTATATTAATTCCACTGATATTGAGGTGTGCGTGTGTTTCTATTAGTTGTTTTTTAGTGCTTCATCGGCCAACAGCACGCCAGAGTCATAGCTCTTCCTGTTGTTGCTAGGAATGTGATGTCACCTGCTCCCTTAACAGGGTTGGTCCTTGTGTGTTTCAGATTCTCAGCCTTGGCCAGGAACAAAGGAGCAGCGACAAGGCTTTCCCCACAATCCTCTAGTGCTCCCTCCCAGCTGGCCGAGCCTGACGGGTGTGCTGACACTGACTGGATCTGAGAGCTCTCTTTTTCCGCCGTGCGGGGTCTGGCTGTGTGGAGGAAGCGGGGGCTAATAAATGAGCTGTGAGTATGAGGCCTCACTGCTGACAGCCAGTGGAGACAGGATTAATAGTCCGGTCATCTGGCTTGATGTGTGATCCTCCAGGCTGCCCCTTGACGAGAGTCCACTGCAGAATCCACCACGGCGGCTGCCGAGAGACCAGCAGAGATGCCCACCGAGATGCTACAGGCAGATAGCAAGCCCGCCGGTCAGGGTGGGGCCTTTGCCACTGCTGTCCCACTCCGCATCCTCAACAAGGGGCCTGACTACTTCCGCCGGCAGACCGAGTCCAACCCAAAGCGGTTGAGCGCCGTGGAGCGACTCGAGGCCGACAAGGCTAAGTACGTGAAGAGCCAGGAGGTCATCAATGCTAAGCAGGAACCCATCAAGCCACAGATACTGGCCAAGCCCCCCGTCTGCCCAGTTCCCACCAAGAGAACTGGCGGTGTGGGATCTGGCTTGAAAGCCTCCAATAACAACGCCAAGTCGGACACCTGCGCAACCACCACCAAACGGGAGAATCTCAACCTGGAGATCCTGAAGAACATCTTGAACAGCTCCTCCTCATCCGAGGGGCCCGCCAAGGGGATGTCGCACAAAGTCGGGGCTCGTAGCTGGGCGCCGCATCGCTCGTCCGAGCTGTTGGAACCTGGTTGTCGTTTTTTTGCTGACTCGCTCAAGGTACCACCTTCCACGCAAGGTCGACACAGTCCACAGGGAGGCAACTTGAACCTGAGTCGCAGGCTGCTGGAGGAGAGGTCGTGCGAGGCTGATGGCGAGCGTTCGCCGCTGCACGCCTCCCACAGCTCCTCAGACATTCGCCGCATGTGCAATGGCAAGCCACTGAGAGCGGCCCGCAGCAGCAGCTCTTCCGCACCACCACTGCCGCCCAAGCCTAGCACCAAGGCCTTGGCTGCATGTGACAATGCTCCCTGCTCCCCTGAAAGAGAGACACTATCTAGCACTGCTACGGAGCTGGAGTTGGGCAGTTCTGTGGCCCGCAGGCCCTCTCTTAACCGCTCCAAGTCAGACCTGAGCGATCGCTACGCTCGGGCCGGTGCAGACGTGGAGCGCTTCTTTAACTATTGTGGGCTGGATCCCGAGGAGCTGGAGAGCGTAGGTGTGGAAAGCTTCACCCGAGCGAACTCTGACATCGTGTCGCTCAACTTCCGTAGTGCCAGCATGATCAGCTCGGACTGTGAGCAGTCACGGCATAGCAATGACGACCTGACTGATGAAGAAGACGACGCTGGGGAGCGTGTTCCCTATGGCATTTCTGCCGTTGAACGGAATGCCCGGGTCATTAAGTGGCTCTACAGCATCAAGCAGGCGCGGGAGTCTCAGAAAGTCTCCCATGTCTAAAAGAGGGAACAGACCCCGACCTGGTCTGGACTTGGTACCTGCTTATTTTTGCAATCCATGCACTGTCTTTGAAATCTCAAAAGATTACATGGCAAAGCATTTTGAGTTGATGGCACTTTTTAATCGCTTTTTGCGTTCAGTGTTTGCTGTCTTCTGAATCTGCATGGCTCCTTAGAAACTCAGCCTCTTTGCGGGCCTCAAGGTAATGCAACTTATGTAGGAGCCTCTTTAAAGATGGTTGCGTCAATGCCATCTCTGTGCAGAGAACAACTCATATTTCCTTTTTTCTTTTGTTCTTTCTGCCTCTTTCTGTCAGATGTTTTGATGCCAGCACCTTTCAGGTGCTTCTTATTTCACTTGGGCGCACTGAGCCAGGAAGCCATATCAGTATGAATGCAGAGCTGCAGTGTGTTTCGACTTCTTTTGATCCTCTCTTTCTGTCAGTTTTTTTACTGGTTCTTATGATGGATACAATATGTATGTACATGAACCTCTGTGAATAGACGCAGCAGAAGCATGTTTTAGTCTATTCTCGAGCTCTCCCCCACCCGACTTCTCTCGGTCAGCCTTGCACTGGTCATATTGTTCCAGCAGTATCATGACACCATTCAGCTTTATGTGGTTTGTTTTCACTTTGTCTGTCATCCATAATGTTCCTGTTTGGCGGTTGATTATTTTTGTGGTACTATTTTTTCGAAAGGTGTAAATGCTGTAAGAATATGTATATAATTTTCAGAGTTGTCGGAAAAGCATTGTGTGATGACAAGTATGCTATGTTCCTCCATAGCTCCTTGTCTGTTTGTTCCCTCTCTGGGCTTGCATCTCAAGGCTGTGTGAGACTTTGTCCATGACCAAATCTGTATGACACTGTTGTTGCAATGACATATATGTTTGGTATATTGAAGTTTGAGCTGTTACTTAAAAATTTAATCAAGACGTTTGTTCACTTTTAATTCTTTTTCATTTCAATAAATGGCTGGGCCCGCAGCAGCAGCTCTTCCGCACCACCACTGCCGCCCAAGCCTAGCGCTAAGGCCTTGGCTGCATGTGACAATGCTCCCTGCTCCTCTGAAAGAGAGACACTATCTAGCACTGCTACGGAGCTGGAGTTGGGCAGTTCTGTGGCCCGCAGGCCCTCTCTTAACCGCTCCAAGTCAGACCTGAGCGATCGCTACGCTCGGGCCGGTGCAGACGTGGAGCGCTTCTTTAACTATTGTGGGCTGGATCCCGAGGAGCTGGAGAGCGTAGGTGTGGAAAGCTTCGCCCGAGCGAACTCTGACATTGTGTCACTCAACTTCCGTAGTGCCAGCATGATCAGCTCAGACTGTGAGCAGTCGCGGCATAGCAACGACGACCTGACCGATGAAGAAGACGATGCTGGGGAGCGCGTTCCCTATGGTATTTCCGCTGTTGAACGGAACGCCAGGGTCATTAAGTGGCTCTACAGCATCAAGCAGGCGCGGGAGTCTCAGAAAGTCTCCCATGTCTAAAAGAGGGAGCAGACCTCCCCAACCTGGTCTGGACTTGGTACCTGCTTATTTTTGCAATCCATGCACTGTCTTTGAAATCTCGAAAGATTACATGGCAAAGCATTTTGAGTTGACGGCACATTTTAATCGCTTTTTGCATTCCGTGTTCGCTGTCTTCTGAATCTGCATGACTCCTTAGACGCTCAGCCTCTTTGCGGCCTCAAGGTAATGCAGCTTATGTAGGAGCCTCTTTAAAGATGGCTGCGTCATTGCCATCTCTGTGCAGAGAACAACTCATATTTCCTTTTTTCTTTTGTTCTTTCTGCCTCTTTCTGTCAGATGTTTTGATGCCAGCACCTTTCAGGTGCTTCTTATTTCACTTGGGCGCACTGAGCCAGGAAGCCATATCAGTATGAATGCAGAGCTGCAGTGTGTTTCGACTTCTTTTGATCCTCTCTTTCTGTCAGTTTTTTTACTGGTTCTTATGATGGATACAATATGTATGTACATGAACCTCTGTGAATAGACGCAGCAGAAGCATGTTTTAGTCTATTCTCGAGCTCTCCCCCACCCGACTTCTCTCGGTCAGCCTTGCACTGGTCATATTGTTCCAGCAGTATCATGACACCATTCAGCTTTATGTGGTTTGTTTTCACTTTGTCTGTCATCCATAATGTTCCTGTTTGGCGGTTGATTATTTTTGTGGTACTATTTTTTCGAAAGGTGTAAATGCTGTAAGAATATGTATATAATTTTCAGAGTTGTCGGAAAAGCATTGTGTGATGACAAGTATGCTATGTTCCTCCATAGCTCCTTGTCTGTTTGTTCCCTCTCTGGGCTTGCATCTCAAGGCTGTGTGAGACTTTGTCCATGACCAAATCTGTATGACACTGTTGTTGCAATGACATATATGTTCGGTATATTGAAGTTTGAGCTGTTACTTAAAAATTTCATCAAGACGTTTGTTCACTTTTAATTCTTTTTCATTTCAATAAATGGCTGATTTTGCCAACTTTTGCCATCAACTTCAAATGTTTGAATGTATTTTCCTGTTATTTATATATTTGATGAATGCATATGATGTTTTTTTCTTAAAGAAGAACATCAAAATATCATTTTTTTGTGTTCCTCTGAAAAAGAAAGTCAAACAGGTTTGGAACGACATCAAGGTGAGTAAACAATGACAACCATATTATTATGTTTTTTTTTTCACAAACTTTCCTTTTAAGCAGTCAAAGATTAATTTTTAAACCAGCTTACACAGTGGGTAGATAGTAGTGGAAAAATCACAAAGGCCAGTCATGTGATTCTTCCATTGCTGACGCTGAGAAAACCGCTGTCAAGTCTTGTTTCCTCACGATTTGCGCATAGGCAAGATGTTCCCCGTTTTAAAACCCTATTTCGCACTCTCATTGTAGCCCTTGTCTCTTTGCAGAGCATGGCTGTCCGCTGGAGGGTAGGTATCTTTAATTTAGTAATTTGTGCTGCCTGCTTTCTCAGGGCAAGAGGAAATGATCTAATTCATAACAAATGTTTAGAAAGGCCAGTCCACTGCACTAGAGGCCCCCTCGCTCCCTAGAGTACCTAACTCACTCCCATAAACAAGTTCAAGGGATCTACGGGGTCACAAGCTGGAACACTTACGTGAAACCTTATGTTTTCACCCACTTTACTCTGCATTTTAGAAAAAAGACCTTCAACTTGATGCTATCGAAAACACTAAATTGGGCTTTGTGGTGCTTGCTAAGTCAAGTCTCAGTGTAACTACATGCTTATTAAACTTTGCTTAACTAGTCAATTGTTTGTCCTACGGACATGAATGATACCTCAAATCAGGTGGCTTATCTAGCGACCAGAATATCGTGGACTCTTGACCTTTTCTTGAATTTGCAGTTTTCTGCCCAGAACCACCCTAGCAACCACATAGAACTGTTATTATACGTGACTGTTCATTTTAGTAACTAGAATAAGGCATGTGTCTTATTTAATCCATAAAATGGCTGCCAACTCTTGTTGTTTTGAAATTGATTGTTGTTTTAGGGAAATTAAAAATGATTTGTAATAGCATTTGAGTGCCTGTTAAACAATATTTACACAATGCACGCCCTCTTCGCTACTCCCCTTCCCCCCAGAAAAAGTGTGTAATGTAGGATTAGCAAATCCTCCCTCGGGCTTTGCATGACATGAAAATAATTTCTGTTCATGTGAGGAAAACACAAGACTGTTGAGCTGTGATGGCAAAAAAGCCTTACTTTCTAAGTGTATAATAAGTATATTTTATTAATTTGATTTACAGAAGCATGATTTTTAACATTTGTAGTAGATTGTTCTAATATTGTCTTCTTAAATATGATCAACAACCATAATCATCTGAAGTGTTTTCCATTTCTGAATATCTTTAATGATATTTTATACTGAGATGAGACACAGATGTTGTTACAGTATTAGTTTGATGCATGTAGTGCCTGCATAAGGACAGTATATGTGTAACCCATCATATCTGGTGTGACTTTATTTGTTCAATTTGTTCAGTGTTAAGCAGCACAATTTGTTTTCAACATTGATAATAATAATAAATGTTTCCTGAATTCTAAAGGATCATGTGACACTGAAGACTGGAGTAATAGCTGCTGAAAATTCAGCTTTGTCGTCACAGGAATAAATTACATTTGATTTTTTTTTAAAAATTGTAAATAACTACAGCCTTTGTGAACATAGCAGACTTCTTTATATATATATATATATAAAAAACGGAATAATGATAAGCCATATGCATCTTTATGTTTGAACATGAATACTTCCTTTTTTTTTTTTTTTGACAGTTCCATACTAAATATAGGGTACACCGGGGCTAAAGGCCCACCTTAAGAAAAAATGTGCCATTCACTGCG